GTGTACATAACCAATTGTATTTGATGTTTAATATTTAATTTTAGGGGGAATACTTATTGTGATAATAAAAAATAACTACTCAGAATTAAATAAAACTTGAAAATGATACAAAAGTGTAACTATTTAAATTTTTAAATTTATTATTTGACTCACATCATTTTAAATTGAATATTTCTGACAAACTTGCATAGGTTCTGAAAATATCATCATAATTTGGTTGTTGTGTTTTAGTCGAAGGACCAAATCATTAGTCGAAGGACCAAATCATTACATGAGATCAATTTTTGAAATCCAAAAAATATTTATAAGTTTTCTTCTGGTTTATGCATAGATAAAGGGCAATATAGGAAGTTCATAGATCTTACTCCCAGGACTGTGAAATTCACTACATCGATTATATGATCATTGAACTCGACATAACTTAAAGGTGGTGGTATTTTCATTATTAATTTAATATCATTCGATTGTTTGGAATCAATCCAACTAAAAGATATCCTGGACATGTCATTAAAAAATATATGTATTCAAAATATATTTTTATATCTGTCTGGACCTTTATATGGAGACTATGTCTAAACACGGAGCCACATAGCTAATTGGCGGCCAATAGTCCTCTAAGAAAATGAAATATAAAATTCATATGCCACCATATACTAAATTCATCATTCTGTTTGCGACATCTGGGAATATTCGCCGGAGACCCTAACAGAACAGAGCGTGGACGAGCTATGGTAGCAGTCCTTTATGCCCGGGAATTATCACTAAAGTTATTTTATTTCCGAAAAGAATCGGAAAGTCAGATTACCTTTCGCAAGCGCCTAAACTATTTGAAATCCGACTCAGTGGAAAAATATTATGCTCTCGGATGACATAAAGTTAAATCTTAAAGACAAAAAAAAACTACCGTGAGAAAGTTCAAAAATGAAAGGCTTATGCCACAGTATTGGGGCAATGGGGAGAATGGAGGATGGTGATATTGGGTCGTTGTTCTTTTTATGAAGTTCGACATATTTACGAAATTTATATTTACGATCCCTTCGCTAAAACAAAATATGCCGCTTGTTTGGGTATTTCAACTTGACAATAACCGGAACATGTCAGTTATTGATTGTGGGAGTCAAAAATCAGAGTTTTGTAATGCCAACACAATCCTCTAATCTTTACCCTATAGACAAGTTATTAGAGTACCATTGATAACAAAATCAAAAGATCGAACAGGTATAGCATCTTTTCAAAGGTTTAGGGAGCAAGGAATAGTACCCAAGGATCAAATTGAGTATATTATTGATTGAATGCCTCGTAGTCAATTTAGTTTTCCATAGAATATTTTTTATTTCAAAATAAATTTTGCGTTTATACTTTATTTTTTTTTTCTTAAATAAATAAATTGCCTATTTATTTTTGAAAAAAAACTTCACTATAACTTTATTTTCAAAAACGTTACAGGTCATTTATTCAGTTTGCAATTTCAGTTGCTTTAGTTTTGGCCAGCAGTGTATGTGCAGAATTTCAAATATTGCGAGTTCTATTTTGTCGAAGGACAGGGAATGGAAAACCTTAAGAGGGATTTTTTCATATTCATAATGTCCTCAGATATTTATAAAATTTATTAAAAACTTTCCGGGACCAACACCGTTTATCTTATTTCAGGTTTTTTTATAGACTTCATAGACTTAATGCAAGTCCAAAATTCAAAAACCGTCCTTCACGACAGAGTATGAAAAATACTCATTTTAACTTTAGATTACGAGGGAATGAAGGGGTGTTTTGTACTTATTCTTGGTCCAAACCTGTCTCTTTGTCCAATTATATATATATATATTTATATATATAGTTAACTTCGTAGGGTGAATTCGCAACATGTTGCGATCCATTGCCTGAATGGATTTCATCTTTAATTGAAGTTCTCAACAATTTCTGACCGAGGTTCTGTAATTTTGACATTTTTATAACGAACAGTCCGATTTAAAATGTCCATCACTTTATATCCACTACCACTGATATTCTGCGGAGCTAAATCTCGAGCCTGGCAAAATTTAGCGATATTTCCATTCTCCTGTGTAGTAATGCTAATTATAAACCATATTAGTATATATCCTATATCCGTTCTCATAAATCTATACAATTGATATCAGCTTAAATATCAACAATCCTCCTTTTATACACTGGTGACATTTTCCGGATCATATATTCCCGTGTGAATTGCATAATATGGGAAATTGTTGGCTCAAATGTCTTGGTCCGTGTGAACGGCTAAATATTGGCCGATCCAGACCAATTTCGTGGTGTTCGATTTAATATTGCTGACACCAAAAAAAAAAAAAACGAATAAAAAATGTCAAAACGAAACAAAACGATATGTGCTAACTATAGAGGAATTAGTCTCCTTCCCTTCGCATATAAAGAGTTATCCAGCGTGCTGTGTGAACGACTAAAGTCAATGGTCAATAACATTATTGGACCATACCAATGCGACTTCAGACCTGACAAATCCACCATTGACCACATTTTCACTCCAAATCCTGGAAAAGACCCATGAAAAACAAATCGACACATTTCACCTGTTCGTGGACTATAGACAGCCCAATCCGCCCAATCAGAGGTCTTTAAAGCCATGTATGTGTTCGGCATTCCTGCAAAATTAATACGGCTATACAGGATAACTTTAACTGGCACAGAGCTCTTTAATACCGAACGAGGATTCAGACAAGGTATAGGTTTATCGTGTGATCTTTTTAACATCCTGCTGGAGAAGGTCATACGAGAGGCAAAGGTGAACAGAAATGACACTCTGTACACCAAACAGCATATGTTACTCGCCTACGCCGATGACATCGATATAATGGCTCGAACATTGCGTGAACAAATTGAGAAGGAAGGGGGTTTGGCAGTAAATGGCGAGAAGACTAAGCTGATGGCATCAACGCGCAAGGCGTCCAGTAGACTCGCACCAACGGTGGAACTTGAAAACTACAACTTCGAGGTAGCTAAAGATTTTATATACCTTGTTACCGCCATAAATTAAACTAATGACATCAGTTTTGAAATTCGGAGAAAGATAGTGTTGGCCAACAGATGTTACTATGGTCTAAACAAGCAGTTTAGGAACAAGGTCACCTCCCGCCAGGCCAAACTCATACTCTACAAGACTCTGATACTACCCGTGCTGTTATATGGATCTGAAACATGGGTACTTGCGCAAACAGATGAGGCAGTTTGAGAGAAAACATTTCCGAAAGATCTATGGACCGATCTGTGTCGAGAGTAAATATCGCCGTCGAATGAACCATGAGTAGTACCATCTATTCTCGGACATCGGCATTGTCAGACGCATCGAGTTGCAGCGACTACGTTGACTTGGTTATGTTTTGAGAATGGATGAATATGCCACAGAACAAATGTCATATAAAAGCGAGCCTACTGATGGCTCACGCAGAAGGGGAAGACCACGAATATTAGATAAAGATCAAGGGAAAGAAAACGTTTCGGAACATGGCATTTTAAATTGGAAAAACTGCGTAGAAGACCGACACGACTAAAAATCTTTTTTAAGCACGACCTATGGAACAAATATTCCGTCACAAGCCAGCTAAGTAAGTCTTTTTTCTTTAAACTTATATTGAACTCTTGCCTGTCTATGTTATCTACAGAAAAATGTATGGACTTAACGGAACAATTAGCAGGTTTTAAAAATAATTGATTTTTTTAAATTAAATTTAAAAATTTCTTTTGCGATTGGTCCTTCGACTTAACAATCTGGGAAGATATCTTAATTAGCAGATTTTTACAATTCAAATTAACCATAAATAGATTATTATATTTCCATTTTTTTAATGTGTGTTTTTATAAAAAAAAAAAATCATATATCTAGTCTTCTTTAAATTATTTGATCCTTCGATCTTCTTGTTTTTAATTTACAAGTTAAATTTTTTCGAATTTTCTTTTAAATCCATCAACACTAACAAATATTCCCCATTTATCACTTTTATTTTTAATTTTTGTTGTAAACCCCATAAGAGGGTTAAGTGTGTCCAAAAACAAAAAAAAAAAAAAAAAAAAAAACAAAACCAAAATGTGTTCTTAAAGAAATGTTTATGTCAACTTTTCTATTGTTTATTACAAGTGCAATTTATTTTTGGGTTGTTGTTGTTATTGTATTTTTGTTTGTTGAATTAAAAATCTAAAAATGTTTCTATTTACTTGTTTTTTGTTGTTGGTTTTCTTTTAAAGTACATTATGTTAATTTCATTATTTGCAATAATATTTTGTTTTCTTCTTTTTTGTTGTTGTTCTTGTTTCATTTTGTTTTTAAAATCTAACGACTAACTATCACACTCCAATGTTTGTTTTGTATTTAATTGTTTTTTAAAAATTTGTTTTAATATTTAATGTTTTTGTTGTTGTTTTTCATTAAATGTTTTTTGTGTTATCTTAAAATATTGCCTTTGCCCATGATTTAAATTTTTTTGTTGATTTTTTTTACTTTTACTTTTAACTGATTTGTTTGTTAGCTTTGTTTCATTAAAAATGTGTTTGTTGTTGTTGTTCTTGTTCTTTTTGTTTAACATACCTAATTCTACAAATATATCTACAATTAAGTTTACGATATGAATAACAAAAATGAAAAAAAATACAACGAAATAATAATAATAATATTTTGCTTTATATTTATAATAAAAAAAACCATTATGAATGAATAAAAACTATATAAAAGAATAAAAACAATGAAAATAATAATTATATTATTTTTTTTATAATAATAATAAGAATCAAATGCCTCTCGCTCTATTGCTATGTCTATCTCTTTTCCTTCTTTAAGTTACATTCTTCTATTCGAGACCCGATTTTTTCAACAGAAAACAAAACAAAAAAATAATTACGCTATGCTTTTTTCCACACACTCAGACAGAGGGTCCAAATACCCTCACTTTTCTTTCACTACACCAAGAATGTCTTGACATTCTTTCTCCCACGGCTCCATTCCAATCGCTTTCTAATCTTTCCCGCCCGATGTCAAGACACCCTTATGCATTGGTTGCTATTGATGACTCTTGCTCAGCAGATGAGCATTGAATTCGTACACATTGTTCAGCTGTTCCCCGCAAATGTTACACTTCCAGGGATTACTTTCACAGTGGCAACCCTTGTGCAGGAAGTACAGCGTCTCGTCGGGAAATTCAATGCCACAGAAGAGGCAAGTGAGTATTTGTTTGCGATTCAGACCAGCCGAATCGTTTTCGGGCCCGGTCGATGTTATCGTGCCATTGCAAATCGGCGTAGTGGACGAAGTGGCAGTTCCACAGGTCGGTGTCAAACTGCTTTGTATCACATTATTGTTTTCCATGGAGGCAGCATTGCGGGTAATACGATTATTGGCCTTGGCACAAATGCGGCGTTTCAGATCTTCCCGCAGCAATGATTTCAGGGGTGAAACCTGGAGAAAACAACAACAACAACAAAAATGAGTAAGAAGTTCGTTGTTGTAATTTGATTTCCATACTTACCTTAATCAGTGATGTTAGTCTCGTATTGGGTGCAGAGAATTCCGATTCACTGCTGTCACCACCATTCATGGTCTCACCGCCATTGACGGAATTTTTCACAGTATCCTCGCTGGGTGGTTCCTAATAAAAATCAGATATGAATTAGTTCACTTTCTCAATGAAAAACTTCCTCTCTTCCTCCTTCACTTAAATTTTATGACCCCAAATACATTCAGTAAAAATCTTAATTCAGCTAAATTATCACAAAAAAAACAGAGGCTGAATAGCGTTTTTCTATAGGAAAACTTCAATTCAGTCTGGCTGAATAGGGTTTTCTTTGGGAAAACGTCATTCAGCCCTTCTGAATAGTAAAACTTCAGTTCAGCCTTGCTGAATAGATTTTTTATGGGAAAACTTCAATTCAGCCAGGCTGAATTAAGGTTTCTATAGGAAAACTTCAATTCAGCCAGGCTGAATTAAGGTTTCTATAGGAAAACTTCAATTCAGCCAGGCTGAATTAAGGTTTCTATAGGAAAACTTCAATTCAGCCAGGCTGAATTAAGGTTTCTATAGGAAAACTTCAATTCAGCCAGGCTGAATTAAGGTTTCTATAGGAAAACTTCAATTCAGCCAGGCTGAATTAAGGTTTCTATAGGAAAACTTCAATTCAGCCAGGCTGAATTAAGGTTTCTATAGGAAAACTTCAATTCAGCCAGGCTGAATTAAGGTTTCTATAGGAAAACTTCAATTCAACCAGGCTGAATTAAGGTTTCTATAGGAAAACTTCAATTCAGCCAGGCTGAATTAAGGTTTCTATAGGTAAACTTCAATTCAGCCAGGCTGAATTAAGGTTTCTATAGGTAAACTTCAATTCAGCCAGGCTGAATTAAGGTTTCTATAGGAAAACTTCAATTCAGCCAGGGTGAATTAAGGTTCCTATAGGAAAACTTCAATTCAGCAAGGCTGAATTAAGGTTTCTATAGGAAAACTTCAATTCAGCCAGGCTGAATTAAGGTTTCTATAGGAAAACTTCAATTCAGCCAGGCTGAATTAAGGTTCCTATAGGAAAACTTCAATTCAGCCAGGCTGAATTAAGGTTTCTATAGGAAAACTCCAATTCAGCTAGGCTGAATTAAGGTTTCTATAGGAAAACTCCAATTCAGCTAGGCTGAATTAAGGTTTCTATAGGAAAACTCCAATTCAGCTAGGCTGAATTAAGGTTTCTATATGAAAACTTCAATTCAGCCAGGCTGAATTAAGGTTTCTATAGAAAAACTTCAATTCAGCCAAGCTGCATTAAGTTTTTTATAGGAAAACTTCAATTCAGCCTGTATTAAGGTTTCTATAGGAAAACTTCAATTCAGCCAGGCTGAATTAAGGTCTCTATAGGAAAACTTCAATTCAGCCAGGCTGAATTAAGGTTTCTATAGGAAAACTTCAATTCAGCCAGGCGGAATTAAGGTTTCTATAGGAAAGCTTCAATTCAGCCAGGCTGAATTAAGGTTTCTATAGGAAAACTTCAATTCAGCCAGGCTGAATTAAGGTTTCTATAGGAAAACATCAATTCAGCCAGGCTGAATTAAAGTTTCTATAGAAAAACTTCAATTCAGCCAGGCTAAATAGAGGTTTTTATAGGAAAACTCAATATAAAATTGATTATCAAACATGGCTGAATTGATTTTGTTAAAAAAATATCTTCAAAATCGGACGGACTAGTAGAGAATCTTTGGCTTCCCATTTGTATTCTGAGAAAAAAACATTCCAAACACATTTTTTTAAATAACCTACCCTCCACATCCGGAGCATGTCCATAATATATTTTTTCGGAAAAATATAAATTAGGTTCTAATACAAAAACAACAACAACGATTTGTACTTTTTTGCTACCCACCATCTAGAAACTTACACTGACCTGCTTTATGGGTATGAGACTAATCGACGGTGTTATGTGATTATCATGATGATTTTTCGGTGATACGGAAGTCAAGGCACCACACAGGGCTCCGCCAGAACCAGGTCCCATACCGCCGCCGCTGCTGCTGGCACTGCTACTGGTACTCGAAGGCAACGATTTGGCATTACAATCTAATGGATGTTCTTGTGGTGGCATATTTATGGTCAACGGCACCGGCGACTCCATAATGGTGTCACGATCCATCGGCCCCATAACATCTCCCGTGGTACTGCCTGCCGATGATGTGGTCGTATTGTTGTTGTTGCCACTGCTGCAAATGTTACTACTGCCGCTGCTGCTGTTGGGGGTGTTGCTGGGATTGCTGTTGTTGTTGGCTGTGGTGTTGTTGTTGGTGCTGCTGTGACCCTGCAAATCAAATGCACGCAAAACGCATAAGAGGACATTCTCAACGGACGAACGAGTATAGAATGAAGTAGAGGAAGTCAATGAGTTTACTACAGACATAAGAGAATCATTAGAATTGGAACATTGCTTTACATTGAACATTGCGTTATCCGAGAGGCCATTGTCGGGTAGTGTTGAGATCTCCACATGGGGCGTTAGGAAATGCATTGGCGGTGTTGCATTCTCCAGGGAGCGTAGCGATTCGCCGCTGTCGCTCTGGTGGCTGGGCATACTGTTGGCGGCCGAGACAATGGCCGCATTCGAATTGACAGCAGCATTGGCAGCAGCTGCAGCCGCTGCTGCAACGGCATTCAGACCAGTCGGCACATAACCGGCTGCAGCAGCGGCAGCAGCCACCTGTGATGCCTGTGACTCCAGAGCGAGTAACAGCGACGATGAACCGCCCGGTCCGGGATTGTCCAAATCAATGCCATGTCTGAAAAAGGAATGAAAAGGAAAAATTCGAATTATTTAGGGTCATTAGAGGAAGAAAGGAGGGAGCTGGTATTCTAACCTGTTGAAAAAATGTATTCTCAGTGATTTCATGGAACCAGCCCGGTAACTGCACAACGGACATGTCTTGACAAGATCATGCTGGCCCACATGCTCATTTTGGAAATGGGCCCGCATGGCAATTTGACGCTGGAAACCTCGATTGCATATCGGGCAATGATACGGCAGCGTTTTTGTGTGTGTGGTAAAATGTTCCGCCAAGTGATCTTTGCGAAAGAATCTGAAAAAAAAAAAACAACAAAAAATTACAACATCCGAAACACAAATAAAAAACCCGCTGCCTACCTCTTTTGGCACACTCGACACTCATAAGGCTTGACACCGGTGTGTCGCATTTTATGACGTCTCATATTTGCACCATTCGAAAATTTCATATTGCAGACATCGCATTCGAACACCTTGCGGGACGACGCTGTTGGCTGAGACGGATTTGTTGAATTGGCTGGGGCCGTGCAATTGCTACCATTGGCAATGGCGCTGATCACACCCCCACCGCTGACGGGTGTCACCGAACCACCCGAACGATGATCGGGACTCGTTGCCGGATTATCCGCACCACCACCACCTCCGATATCGACATCTTCATTTTTAAGGCGTGCTGCGGCCGCAGCTGAATTCGACAGACATTGGACTACATGCAAGAGCAATGTGGCTCGGGAGCTGGTCTCGAAATTGTCACAGCGTTCGCAGCGGAATGTTGTAGGATTATTGGAGGCATTTGAATTGTTGTTGTGGTTCGTTGAGAGATTTGTTGGCGATATACTGACATTGGCTGTTACTGGTGTCGAGATGGGTTTCTCGCCACCATTATCCGACGACGACGATGATTGATCTTCGGAGCTGTGATGCAACTGAAGTGCCTGCTGTTGCTGCTGCTGGTGATGATGGTGTTCCTTAAGGCTACGCAAGGCATGAGCGTGTGAGGCTAATGTATTGTGATGCAAGAGTGATGCTGTCGTTGACATATCAACAATGAGTCCATTATCTTTGAGCGATAGCTCCATTTGACCGGCAGAACTCATTGTGTCGGTCATTTTGCTAGAAAGAGAAGAATATGGAGAAGGTGGAAGATTAGTTGCAGGGTCAAAGAGATTAAAATTGTGAAAAAGATAAAGAAACGATAAACGGCTCTCTGGCCTGGAGATTTTCGAAGATCGAAAAATAATCTATGACCTGATGGAAGGTTATTCAGAACCTAAAGGATTTTTCAATAAAAAGACCACAGGTCGTAATGTCGATATAAAAAATCTCAGGTCCTGAGTTAATTTTTTTCTTCAGAAAACAATCCTCAGGCCATGACGATCGATTTTTTCCCATAGAGAAAATTCTGAGGTCCTTAGGATAGATTTTTTCTCTAAAAACAATATTTTTTCTGTGGAGAATAATTCTCATTTTCTGAGAATCCATTGTTTTCTGTAGTAAACAATCTGCAGAAACTGAGGATAATTTTTTTCATAGAAAAAAATCCATAGGTCCTGAGGTTCAAATTTTGCTAAAATAATTCTCATGTTCTGAGGTTCTATTGTTTATAGAAAAAGGAACAAATCAGGACATGAGCATTATTTTTTATAGAAAAAAATCTTCCGGACCAGAGTAGAAGGGCCAATTTATCTGTTAAAGAACCTCGAATCCTATTGATCGATTTTTTCTTCCAATAGAAAATAATCAGGAGCTGAGGATCCTTACGACCTGAAAATCGTTAGACCCGATAATTTTCTATTGAAAAAATTCTTCGAAACTCGGGATCGATGTTTAAATTTTTTTCTACAGAAATACTTTTTCAGAATCTCGGATCTGAGGTTTTGTATAGAAAAAACAACCCTGAGCCCGAATGACCGACTTTTTGTTTTGCTCAAGGTGTCAACCCGATTCAGTAGCTTCGATATATTTTTCTTCAACACCTCTCTTGGCCTGAGGTCACCAAGCCATTATTAAAGATCAAATGCGACTTATTAAGAGCTTTAATTTTTTTCAAAACGAGTTCCCATCACATCGTAATCTCGGCGAGCAGTTATATCAACATTTATGTATGTAAGTATGTATGCATGTATGCTGAAGATCATGATTGATCGCTGACGTTGGATGCTGGATTAAGGTCGTTCGCTGCAGGTGAACTTTCAACTCAACCTACATTGAAAAACAACCCAGCATGCATTGACAAAAGCTCTGATACTTGGATGTGGAAGTTCGGAAATATATATTTACATAAATATGTAGATATGTGGGATAAATATATCTCTAGGTATGTATGTATTTGATCTCAATTGGTGAACACATCAATCAAACAAATGTATGTATGTGAGCTGTCGCTGCCACTGCGCTACTGTATTCAAACATATCCATGGCATACATTTCGGATATACGTAGGTATGTTTGTATGCATGCACAAATTAGTAAGACACGCACACACAATAGTTGTGTTTTATGGGTTAAAAAATATTTTTTTCTATGGGAAATCTTCAATTCAGCTCAGCTGAATTAGGTTTTCTGTGGGAAATCTTCAATTTGGCTAAGCTGAATCAGATTTTTCTAAAGGAAATCTTCAATTCAATATAGCTGAATTCGATTTTCTATAGAAAATCTTCAATTCAATTTGATTTTCTATAGGAAATCATAAATTTAACTTAGCTGAATTTGAATTTCTATAAATAATCTTCAATTCAGCTTAGCTGAATTAGGTTTTTTTATAAGAAATCTTAAAATCGGCTTAGTTGAATTCGATTTCCTATAGGAAATATTCAATTCATCTTAGCCGAATAAGGTTTTCTGTAGGAAATTTTCAATTCAGCTAAGCTGAATTCGATATTCTATAGGAAATCCTTAATTCAGCTTAGCTGAATTCAATTTTCTATTAAAAATCTTCAATTCAGCATAGCTGAAATCGATTTTCTTAAAGAAATCTTCAATTTAGCTTAGCTGAATTCGACTTTCTATTGGAAATCTTCAATTTAGCTAAGCCTAATTCGATTTTTTATAGGAAATCTTCAATTCAGCTTAGCTGAATTCGATTTTTAATAGGAAAGCTTCAATTCAGCGTAGCCAAATTAGGTTTTCTATAAGAAATCTTCAAGTTGGTTTAGCAGAATTTGATTTTTAATAGACAATCTTGAATTTAGCCATGCTGAATTAGATTGTTGATAGGTAATCTCTAATTCTGCCCAACTGAATTTGGGGTTTTATTGGAAATTTTCAATTCAGCTAATCTGAATTCGATTTTCTGAAAGAAATCTTTAGTTTAGCTAAATTCGATTTCCCATACGAAATCTTCATTAATACTTAGAGGGATTCGATTTTCTGTAGGAAATCCTCAATTCAGCTTAGCTGAATTCAATTTTCTATGGCAAATTTTCAATTCAGCTAAGCTGAATTCGACTTTCAATAGGAAATCTTCAATTCAGCACTGTTGAATATATTTTTTGTAGGAAAATTTCACTTCAGCCCTGTTGAATTAGATATATTTTAGAAAATCTTCAACTCAGCCATGCTGAATTTAATTTTTTTGCTAATCTTTAACTAAACCCAGCTACAATAAAAAATCTTCAATTCAGCACAACTAAAATATGTTTTCAATAGGAAATCTTTAATTCAGTGCAGCTGAATTTGATTTTCTACAGACATTCTTCAATTCAGCTCAGCTGAATTAGATTTTCTATGGAAAATATTCAATTCAGCTTAGCTGAATTTGATTTTTTGTTGGAAATATTCAATTCAGCTTAGCTGAATAGGGTTTTCTATAGTAGATTTGTACTTTAGCGTTGCTGAATATGATTTCCTAACACAAACCTTCCATTCAACCAAGCTGAATTTAATTTTCTATATGAAATCTTCAATTCAGCCCAGCTGAATTTCGTTTTCTATATGAAATCTTCAATTCCGCTCAGCTGAATTGGATTTACAATAGGAAACCTTAAATTCTTTCCAAACAAATTGGGGTTTCTGTACAAAATCTGCAATTCTGCTCAGCTGAATTTAATTTTCTATATGAAATCTGCAATTTAACGTTGATGAATATGATTTTTTACAGCAAATCTTCCATTCAAACCAGCTGAATTTAGTTTTATATAGAAAATTTTCAATTCAGCACAGTTGAATTTAGTTTTCTATATGAAATCTTTAATTCAGCCTAGCTGAATTTAGTTTTCAATATACAATCTTCAATCCAGCCTAGCTGAATTTAGTTTTCTATAGGAAAACTTCAATTCAGCCTAGCTGAATTTAGTTTTCCATATGAAATCTTCAATTCCGCTCAGCTGAATTAGATTTAAAATAGGAAACCTTTAATTCATTTCAGCCAAATTGGGTTTTCTATAAGAAATCTGCAATTCAGCTCAGCTGAATTAGATTTTCTTTGGTAAATTTGCAATTCAGCACAGCTGAATTAAGTTATATTACCATAAAATATCGTTTTACTTGTGAAATAAAAATGTTACCTTAATAAATTTCCCGAAAATTTGTGTTGTACTTCCCCTTGCCGAATTTGTTTTTCCAGGGAACTCACCCACTTCTAAACAAATTATAATTTGTTCTCCCCTCGCAGATCAATAAAACACAACTAATACAACCGTTTACTTCCACAACTATAGTCAGATGGCATATACCAAGACGCAAAAAAAACCGTAGCTAGGTCGTTGGGTATGACAGACGCATGCAAGTGTAAAGCAGAGCGAGTAAAGCTTGAGCTCAATTTTACTTGCTTGATTTTGGCTATCCGGCCGTCAAGCCAACCAGTCAGCCAGCCAGCAATATAAACTAGTTTCTGATGCGATTTCCCAACCCATGGACGGGGTTCGTCATAGTAGAGGCCGTTGTCGTCATCATACCACCACCGTACCGACTGCTGGGTTATTCGCTTGGCTGCTTGGCAGACCCAAAAGAAGTCGGTGTCTCCGACGAGTAGCCAGCCAAATGTTATGGTAAAGGCATTTGGAACATTGACTCTGTCGAGAAATACAAAAAAAGTGGTTTGTATTCCATCAGGTGGATATAGACAGCGGCAGCTACAACAACCACAACTATTAAGCATGCATTCTATGTGCAATATTCAATATCTCTGTATGTGTGTGAGTGTGTGTGTGTGTTTCAGTCAATTCGATGTTGTGCTAAATGTGAATTTTATTTTTTTGCCTGATAATAATGACGGCTACGCCGATGATGGTAATGGTAATGGCGCTGGTGGTTTCTTTAGGTTTTTGGAAGATTTCAAGAATATTTTGTTGTAGTTGTTGCAATTTTTTGGCATATGGAAACCCACTTGTGTACTTTAACCATTATATATAGAAGTTATTGAACAGCCAGCCAGTCAGCCAGCACAGGTACGTAGTCAGATGTATGGATAGATAGATACTTATTGCGAAAATCGACGTGTTTCGCAGTAGCTTCAACCCAATAGACTTTTCGACTATGGCCCACAACATCGGCGAAGAAGCAACAATGCACAAAAAAACCGAAAAGATGTTTGGTGTTGCAATTCTTTGTTTTTGGAACGTTTTGGTTGCTTGGCTTAATGGGTTTTAGTATTTTTTTCTCTGTGGGTTTCTAACAAGAATTGAGTAACTTTTGTAATGGAAAAAAATATGATTTACAAAATAGGCAGTGTAATATAACGCAAATGTTAATGAAAGGAGAAGTCAAAGAACTAAAGAAAAAATCATTCAGCTGTGGAAAGGTTTGCATGAAGAAGCAAAAAAATTCAAATTATTAGAATTTTTTGATAGGAAACTACAATTCTGACCCGATGAATTAGGTTTTATATAGGAAATCTGCAACTCAACTCAGCTGAATAAGGTTTCCTATAGGAAATCTGTAATTCGGCTCAGCTGAATTAGGTTTCCTATAGGAAAACTCCAATTCAGCCCGACTGAATTGTGTATTCTATAAGCAAACTTCAATTCAGCCCGGCTGAATTGTGTTTTCTATAAGCAAACTTCAATTCAGCCCAGCTGAATTGTGTTTTCTTTAGGAAAACTTCAATTCAGCCCGGCTAAATTGTGTTTTCTATAGGAAAACTTCAATTCAGCCCGGCTGAACTTCAATG